AAAAAGGGGATCATTTGTTACATATACATGTTTATATATACAGAGGCTATTTCTGCCAGTTCACAAAAGGTAGCGGTAATCTCCTCTGAGGAGTGAGAGTAGATTGTAAGGTGCTGATGGCAGAGGTAGGAATGAAACATATACTCTTTTGTTTTTTGAGATTTTGAATTATGTGTATTTAGCCTATTTATTCTTCTATTCATTTATTTATAGGCAAGGTCTCACATAGCCCAGACTGGCTTCCAATATACTATATAGCTGAGGATAACCTTAAATTCCTGGTCTTTCTGCCTCCACCTCCCAAGTATTGAGATTTCAACAGGTGTATGCAAAAAAAAAAAAATGTTGTGGGGCTCTTCCTAAAGAAAAAGCAGTAGCTGTTCAAGGCTCAGTGGCTAAATTTCCAAAAGCAATCAAGGAAGGATGTTGGGAGCTGTTAGTCTATTATGTACATTGAGCTGTGGCAGGCTTGTTTACTGAGTTTGTGTTATGCACACCAGTACCTAATCTGCCTAATCAGGAGGAATGTGTTTATATGGAGAGCCTCACAATACCTGACCTGGAGGCAATAGTGGTAAACAAAAAGATCAAAGAAGCCTATTTGACCGCTCCTTGACCCTCAGATACAGGTGGGGAAAAACAGCTGTTGAAACTAATTGAGTTCTTCTGTATAAAAAGGCAGAGCTGAAATAAACTGGGGCTGCAGGCACTACTGTCAGCCCTCCCAAGCATCTTTTCTGTCTCTTATTTTTTCTTTCAATCCTCACTCCCCCTTTCATGTACTGTCTGTCTTGGCCGGCTGGCACTGGCAGAAGAAAAGGGAGGGAGGGAGGGAGGGAGGAAGAAGGGAAGGAGGAAGAGATGGAAGGAGGAAGGAAAGGATTCTTCCCCATTTTTAGCTTTTCATTTGAATATATTATTAGCCAGGTCCAGGCACAGGCCTGTAATCTCAGCAACTTGGTAGGCTGAGGCAAGAGGATTGAACACTGAAGGCCTGCCTGGGCTAGAGAGTGACTTCAGGACCAGTATGGCCAACTTTGTAAGATCCTATCTCAAAAGAATAAAAAAACAGGAAAAAGAAAGTCATAGTTTAGTGGTACAGCGCTTGCCTAGCATGCATGAGGCCCTGGGTTCAATACCCCTTATTGTCAGCAAAATAAAAAAGTACCTATTATTTACATTTGAGGGCTTCCTCTCAACCTCAGCTTCTATCTTAAGGCAGGGGTTAGGGGAAGAGAGAGGTGGAGAGTGATGAGCAAGGGCTCTAGCTAGGTCCATAGACTGGCTCATACCTGCAGATATATACAAGGTCTTGTGAGAGACACACCCGGGCTGACACATCTTGGCCCTTTGAAGTAGAAGCCTCAAGCCAGTTCAGAGTCCCCAGGGCATGGTGAGGGCAAGCCCAAGGCCTGGACAAGATGGAAGGGCGGCCTCTTAACCTCCAATCCTGGAGTCCATAAAATTGGGCAGGTACACACATCTGGGAATGAGTTGATAGAGGTTAAATGGACTTGAGCAGCTGTTAGTTCCATGGGTGTAAACTCATATGGACATTTGTATTTGTACACAGATACCTTCATGTATATATGTGTATGTCTATGTCCATCCCGTATATTGGTACAGGAATGTTACTTTATGTCAGAGGGCAAGTGGAACTTCAAGATGACACCCATCATGATGCCTGCTGTCTCTCTTTTTTTTTTTTTTCTATCTATTTTGGCAGTACTGGGGATTGAACCTAGAGCATCATGCATGGGAGGCAAGTGCTCTACCACTGACCCTCAGCCCCAGCCTTCTTTAAATAGTTGCTAGACCCAGGCCAGAGTCCCAAGTAGATTGGAATCTGGCCTAGCAGTTTGAACGTTGGGTACAGCCAATATTGGGAAAAGAATCCAGGTCACTTAGGGTACCAGAGTATATGCCAAGAGCACTTTTCTCTGGACTTGGAGAAGTAGAACTTTGTGCCCAATAGAATGCTGCCTGTATTAGGTTGGAAGGTCCAGGTATAGACTCCCAGGCTAGCCACCTTCTTGGGCTTCAGACCACAACTACTGAGCCTTTGATTAGAATCTCCTATATGTCAGTTCTACCATAGGCTGAAGGATGAATATATAGACAAGGACCCTACCCTTGGGGTGCCAACCATTCACTTGGGAAGGCACATACACATCATCACTTGCTTCCTATTAATAGGGGTTGGAGTGATGGCTTGGTAGTTAAGAGTGCTTGCTGGTCTTATAGAGGACTTGAGTTTGGTTCCCAGAACCACTAGGTGGCCACAATTGCCTGTAACTCCAGCTCCAGGGGATCCAACACTTTTGGCTTCTGTGGGCACCTGCACTCATGTGCACATACCCCTCAAAGACATATACACAAACACATAATTAAAAATAAAGGGGGATGGAGAGATGGCTCAGAGGTTAAGAACACTGGTTGTTCTTGCAGATGACCCAGGTTCGTACCCCAGCACCCACATGGCAGCTAACAACTGTCTATAACTCCAGTTCCAGGGGATCTGATGGCCTTTTCTGTCCTCTGCGGGCATTACACGACATAGGCACACTTACCTACATGCAGGCAATACACTCATACACATAAAATAAAAATATAAATAAAATATTAAAAAAAATAAAATACATCTTAAAATATTAATTCATTCATAATTTATTTTTTTTGCTACTAAGGATTGAACCACGAGCCTCTTGCATGCTAGGGAAGCACTGTATCACTGAGCTATGCACTCTTTTTGCTTTTATTTTTATTTGTGTGCATGTGATTTATGTGTATATATGCATATTTGTGTGCTGTGTGGCTATCAGTTAGGTGTACTTGTATGGAGGAAGGTTAGTGCTGTGTCTACTTGGGTGGAGGTCAGAGGTCAATTTTAGGTATCTTCCTATATCATTCTCCACCTTATTAAAATTTTTTTTTGCATTTAGTTTTTATGTGTATGAATGTTTTGCCTGCAAGTATGTAAGCACACCATACAGGTGCAATGTTCATGGAGGCTAGAAGAGGGCTTTGGATTCCCCTGGAATTAGAGTTAGGAATGGTTGTCAACTGCCAAGATCTGAATTTTAGAAAGGCATGAAGAAGGCATTGTAGGTAGAGGAGAGAGGGTAATACCAGGGAGGTGAGTTTTGGAGAGACACTGAGGAGTCTAACACAAAACATGGAAGAAGAGAAAGGAAGACGATGCTGGAGAGAACTAACTAGGTCTGGATCACGGAGAGCCATGGATGTTGTTGGGATTGTGGGGCTTTGTGAGCCACATAAGGTTTTAGAGGTGTGACAGGAGAGCTGTGTTAGGGATTAGTTTGTCAGGAGGTCAAGGAAGGGTATGAATTAGCAGGAAGTGGCTGTGACAGGCAGAGGCTCAGGTTTGCACAAATGAGGATATTTTGGGAACACTACTGTAAGGAACATGATGCTAATCCCCTCCCCTGAAAGCCTCTGGGTATTATTTCCTGGCTTTCTCCTCTAGCTGGTAAGGCTCAGTCCTGCTTTAGGGCTTTTAGACTAGGCTGGGGCAGGGTTCTTAATCACCAGAGCATGAAGCTCTGAACTAGCTTCTACTGGCCAGATGGGCAAATTTCAGAGTCTCTGCTCTACTTATAGAGAACCCTGGAGATCCCCAGAACATGTGTTTGAGGTCTCTCCCCAAGTATCTCACAGGCCATCAGAAGAGCTGGGGCCTGGAGCACGGTCTTGGCAGAATCTTGAGGATTGAAAGTTTAAAACAAACTGCCAGCTCTAAGTTTGAACATTTATGGTAGGTATGACAGATAAACTGAGGTCCAGAGAGGTAAGGACTTTTACTTGAGGTCATGCAACATGTTTAGGACCCAGAACTGGAGGCCAAGTCTCCCTGTGGAGGCTAAAGAAACCTGCAGGTTAGACCTGGTGCAGGCAGAGTGATGGAGCTGAGTCCAGGAACTGTGGGTTAAACTCCTGGTTCCGCTACTATTACTTAGTTACCTTAGGAAGTTACTTAGGGTCTCCTACTCTGTTTCTTCAACTGTAAAAGTGAGGATATTATCTACCTTTGAGCATTACTATGAAGATTACAGATTAAAAAACAATAGCAGTGCTTGGCCATATGCTGTGTTTGACGTGACCCAGTGGTATGGTAAAAGCAATAGTAGGTGTCCTCCATTTGGGGTGGGGGGCATGCCGGACATAGTTTCCCCCATAGTAGGCAATGAGCTTTGTAATACATTAATATAAATTCACATACTAACAGTGAGATTTGTTGATTCTTCCTTTCCTTTCCCCTTTCCCTTCCTTCTTTTCTTCCTCTCTCTCCCACTCTCCCTCCCTCCCCTCCCGTGGTTCCCCCCCGCCCCATCCCCGCTTTCTGAGACAGGGTCCCCTGTTCTGTCACTCTTCTGTCCAGTTCCAGTAGTGACATGGACACAATAAGGTGTGTAAACGTTCCAGGGCTGAGCTGTCTGCAAGGTCAATGTTTATTCAGCTTAGAGCAATTTCTTTCCAAGTCCTACGCTTGGCAAAACTTCCGGTGCGTCTCACGAACTCCCTGACACTCGCAGGTGCTCCCCTGTAACCGAGGAAGGGGCCCATTGAGCTGAGAAGGGAGTTGGGGAGACGGAAAATGTGTAGGGATGTGATTCCATGGAGCAAGAGGAGGCAGAAGGGCGGTGGGGAGTCCAGACAGAGGGCAGAGGAGGGGGGTCTTGTAGTCCAGGTCCAGGAGACAGGATAGAAGGAGCTGTGAAGGAGCTTGTGCAGGGATGGGGATTCCCCGGGGAGGAAAGGGGGTGGCCTTCGGTGACAGGTCTGTGGGTGGCGGGGCAAGAGCTTGGGCCGTCAGCTCTCCCCGCAGCGCAAGGCTCCGACTGCTGCCGGGCTGGAGCCTCTGGATGCCGCACCTTGGAGGGGCGGGGAAGGGGGGACTCCAGGCCTGCGATTGGCTGCCGCGCCCACCGCCGCTGACGCGCGGCGGGCGGGCCCCTTTGTGACGTCACAATCAGCTGTTTGAACGTTCCAATTTGTGCCCTGAGCCCCGCCGCGCGGCTGCACAGACTCAAAGTCCGGCGGGCGAGCGCTGCAGCTCCCAGCGTCCGATCGCGAGCCCCGCCGCCTCCCTTCCCGACCCCGCGATGCGGCCCGGGCTGTGAGCAGCTGGCTCCCCCGGGACGCCTGGCCGCACCACTACCTCAGCGCACCCCAGCTCTCTGCAGCGTCCCGCCCCCAGGTGAGGCCCGACCAGCTCCGGGCGGGGGGCTCCCCGCGCCCCGGGACACGCCCTGCGCCCCCCTCGCCCCGGCCTTTGTCTGTCTCTGCCGGCGGTCACCGGAGCCGCGTTCTCGTCTTCCTATTGGTTGCCGCCAGCCGGTAGACCATGACGTCGCTTTATTTGCATATGACATTGAGACGTCACCAAGGCCAGCACCGCCCTCCAGGCTTGCTTGGGTGCTTGTCCTCCCGTGACGCGGTGGGCTCTGTGTCGAGCCAGGTCAAGGGTGAGAGACGCGGAAAGGCGAGTGGGACCCGAGGGGCCTCTGCGGTGTCCTTGGTGAATCTAGGGCCTGGGGTCAGGCCTCTCATTGGCTTTTTCCTGCGACTTGAGGAGGGGGTCGGACGGCACAGCTGTCTCCAAGTTGAGGGGGTGCTCAGTGCATAAAGGTGGCCTCGAGCTCTAGGTCGTTGGGACAGTACCAGATGGTGCCGGATCCTCTCTGGCTCTAGCCCCCCCCCAACATAATAACAGCCTCTTAATCCCTGACATGTGTGCTTTAGTTGATGTCACTCGCAGTCTATAAATGTGGAGGGTCTTAAACTTTTCTTCATGAAGGGGAAACTGAGGCCCAGAGTGGTGAAGTAGCTTACTGGATATCTCAGCCAATTAGAGTCATACTCAACGAGTGACAGATTCCTTAGCTGTGGGCAAATGCATAGTAGAAGCTCAGTTCAAGTAACAAGCTGTGGGACTCTGTCTTGGGCTCAGCACCATCCCAATTTGATAGGGCTTCTCAGTTTCAGTCCTGAACATTTTTCCAGGAGGTCTATAAAGATTGGGCCCCCTTTGTGGTCCTGACCTTCCTGCCTTCACTCCACCTTAAAACCCAACAAAATGTCTCCTAGCTGTTTTGACCACAGAAAGATGAGTCACTAGCTGCTTGCCCTCAGGTGTCTCCAGGGCAGATGTTGGGAATGAGGTGGGAGTTCCATCTGTCCGCCTCTCATCACCTCTTTTGCTCCCAAGCTGTCAGCTAGGAGGGACTAGATCTTCCTAAAACTGGTGATTCCAGAGGTTATGCTGTCCCCCCTCTGCTTTTGACTTTCCAAGTGGGTAGATATAGAGGTTGGATCTGGAACCTCATACCAGGCTGGGGTTTGCTCAAGAATGGGTTGGGCTAGAGGTGGCTTAGGGCTCAAGTGCTATTCTGGGCACAGCTGCTGTAGTATTAAAGTGAATGGTTCTTCCTGGAGCAGAGCCGGGAATCTGAGAACCAGGAAGCCAGCTGGTTAGGAAAGAAAATCCAAGAGGCTCTCCAAGTGGTCAAAGGAGGGGGCAGGCACTGGCTGGCTGGTGCTACTGTCTGTCCTGGCTGTCTGTCACTTGCTGTATGACCTCAGGCAAGGAGTTTCTCCATTGTGCCTCTCTTACTTCAACCTGTCTATAGTTGAAGAGGCTCATTGCAGGTTCTGGTACACAGTGGGTGCTCTAGGAAATGCATGTTGAAGCTGATGCCCAGAACTCCAGAACTTTGTACAGCTAGGAAGAAGGGTAGTGGCTGGATGAATGTCCTTGTCTGATCTCCATGTCTCATATTCATCATTATATTCTTAGATATTATCTGTTGAAGCTTTCCTGATTATAAATAATCTTGACTGGATGCTCAGTAACTTGGGCCTAGGCCTGCCCTACCACTACCAAGCTGTAGCTTTTTGGATAAATTTATGTTCTGTCACTTTCATGTCTCCAGTCCCGGAACAGGGCAGTCTTGTCTTGACCCAGGGAACGACTGGCTGAAGGCTTGCTTGGGTCCTGGTTCAACCCTTGTGTTTATCCTTAAGGGTTTCTGGGATCTGACAATTGCCTTCCTCCATCATCATCTACCACCGACCCGCTGTCTTACTAGGACCAGGCAACCCTATCTTCTTCCTTCCAGCCAGGGATGCTGTCCATGAACAGGAGCCTGGGAAAAGGGGAGTCTATGGGGGAAGAGAGCCTATGGGCATAGGGTCCTCATAGCTCATCTGGCAGATATAGCTTAGGCTTGCCCAACCTCATGGAGTTTCTACTAGCTAGTGCTTTCAAACCACGTGGGTTTGGTTTTGTTTTTCTTTCTTTCTTTCCTTTCTTTCTTTCTTTCTTTCTTTCTTTCTTTCTTTCTTTCTTTCTTTCTTTCTTTCTTTCTTTCTTTCTTTCTTTCTTTCTTTCTTTCTTTCTTTCTTTCTTTCTTTCTTTCTTTCTTTTTCTTTCTTTCCTTTCTTTCTTTCTTTCTTTCTTTCTTTCTTTCTTTCTTTCTTTCTTTCTTTCTTTCCTTCTTTCTTTCTTTCTCTTTCTTTCTTTCTTTCGACAGGTTTTCATGAAACCCCTGCTGGCCTTAACCTTACCATGTAGCCAAGGCTGACTTTGAACTCTTGATACTCCTGTTTCCACATTCCAAGTACTGAAATTACAGTCATGTACCATCATACCCAGCTATTTTGTATTTTTTTTTTGTATTTTTTTTTCTGGTCTTTTTGAGACAGGGTCTCCCTGTAGCCCCAGCTGTCCTGGAACTCACTATGTAGACCAGGCTGGCTTTGAACTCACAGAGATCTGCCTGCTTCTGCCTCCCGAGTGCTGGGATTAAAGGTGTGTGCCACCACGCCTGGCACTTTTTTTTTTTTTTTGTCTTTTTGAGACAGGGTCTCCCTGTAGCCCCGCTGTTCCAGAACTCGCTATGTAGACCAGGCTGGCCTTGAACTCACAAAGATCTGCCGGTCTCTGCCTCCCAAGTGCTGGGATTAAAAACGTGTGCCACCATGCCCAGCTAATTTTGTATATTTTTATCTTGTTATGAATAATATTGTATAAATTTAGGAAATTAAAAAAATTAAATTTTATTATTTTTATTTTATGTGTATGAGTGTATTGCCTGCATGTGTGTAAGTGTATCTGTGTCATGCAATGCCTATGGAGGTCAGAAGAGGGTGTCAGATACCCTGGAACTGGAGTTATGGATAATTTTTAGCTGCCTTGTGGGTGCTGGGAATCAAACCTGGGTCCTCTGCAAGAGAGGTCAGTGCTCTTAACTGCTGAGCCATCTCTCCAGCCCCAAATTTAGGAAAATTTTGAAGTGATATTCTAAATTCTTTTTCAAAAATTATAAAACTTATTTTTATTTTATGTGCGTGAGTGTTTTGCCTACATGTAAGTGCACCATACCTGTACAATGCCCATGGAGGCCAGAAGAGGGCATTGGATCCCCTAGAACTGGAGTTACAGACAGTTATTAGCTGCCATGTGGGTGCTGGGAACTGAACCCAGGTTCTCTGCAAGAGCAGCCAGTGCTCTTAACTGCTGAGCCATCTCTTCAGCCCCACCACACAGGGTTTTATAGTAGTTCTTGGTCCCAGGGAGTCAAAGACTACTGCTTAGAAATCTTGGTGAAATCCCAGATCTTTCTTCCTAGAAAAATACACATAGACATGGCCCTAGTTACCAAATTAAAAAATGCCTAATCCAGACAGACACCCAGCAAAGGTAGTGGACTACAGTGATTACAGATGCCACTTCTGAAATCTGACCACCTGGGTTCAAAACCTACCTATGTCTCTTACTAGCTATGACTTTGGGCTAGTTACCGTATGTCTCTGAGCCTTGTTTTAACTATCTACCTGAAAAAAAGATATAGTAATTATTATTTCTTTCTCTCATTCTCCCTTTCACTCTCCAGTTTCCTCTCCCTTTCCTTTATTTATTTCTTATTTTATTTTATTTTATTTATTTTGAGGCATAGTCTCCTTGTAACCCCAGGGTGGCCTCAAACTCACAGAGATCTGCTTGCCTCTGCCTCCCAAGTACTGGGACTAAAGGCCTGCGCCACCATGCCCAGCTTTGTTTCCTTTTCTCATACGATCTCATGTAGCCAAGGCTGGCTCTCTTTTTTTCTTTTTTTTTTTTTTTTTTTTTTTTTTTGAGGGAGTCTTGGTAGCTTAGACTGGCCTTGAACTCACTATGTAGCCAAAGCAGGACCTGAACTTCTGATCCTCCTGCTTCCACTTCCTAAGTGCTGGGATGACAGGTGTGGGTCATCCTGCCTGGCTTTGCACTTCTATGCTCCTCCTGCTCTCCCCCCAAGTACTATTACAGGTGTGTACCACCACACCTGGCTCCACTTTCTGTATCCTGCTAGAACTATATGAGGCAAAATAGGTGAAATTGCTTAGTGTAGTGCCTGACATATGTGTGTTAATTATATTATTATGATGATAATAAATGCAGTATGGGCAATTTGTTCCCTCAGTGGAAAATTCCTGTTTACTCTCCAAAGCCCAGCTTGGATGTTTCATCACTTCTTCCAAATTCCCCAAAGCAACTTGTAATAGCAACTAGTTTGTTAGTTATTGAATGCTTAGTCTGTGCTTAAGCACTGTTCTAAGCACTTTATAAGTGTTTGTCTCATTTAATTCTTATTAGGGTATTATTATTATTTGACAAATGAGAAAACTAAAACAATAGTTTCCTAAATTCAAACAGGAAAGCCTAGATTTGAATGCAGATAAGCACACACACCAAAAGCCTGTGTGTGCTTCTCTAATCACTGCTCTGGGGGCTGAATGTGATCTCACTGTGTCCTCTTGTCATGGTTCTAACATTTTTGTATGTTTCTCAGGTTTTTGCACTGCCATAGGGCGCCCCCTTGAGGTTGCTTCACCTGCTGACCATGTTCCAGCGTTTCACCAGCCTTTTCTTCAGCACTCCTTCACCTCCTGAAGACTCCAACTGCCCCAGGGCCTTTGTCTCAGAGGAGGATGAAGTGGATGGTTGGCTTATTATTGACCTGCCCGGTGAGGCCTGAGTCTGGGTTGGGGAGGCTGGGTAGCAGCACTCTGATTCCTGGGCCTATGAAAACATTGTAAGGACAGGGGAAGGGAGGTAGCTGTTTGGGGATTGGAGTACCTAAGCCTACTGGTACCCTGAGGTTGAGTCAGTGAGCTTGGAGGTGCGGTAACACGGACCGGTCACCTGTATGTCTGGGCCTTTTCCTGGTGGCTCATTGTTGGGGCATACATTTGGGGCCCCTAGGGCAGCAGGATAAGACTGCCCCGACCTGTGGGTACTTCCTGGGCATGATGGGCAGGGACCTGTGGGCCCGACTAACGATGCCCTTTCTCTCCCTGTCCCATCCCCTGTGTCCGATATATGTATGTGTGTATGTGTCTGTGTGGGTGTGTGTGTGTCCCACCCTGCTGCTCGCCCTCTGCATGGCTCCCCTCTCCCCTGCCCCTATAGACAGCTACACAGCTCCCCCCAACCCTGGGCCCTCCCCTGCCCCGGCAGGCCGCCCTCCGCCCGCACCCTCCTTGATGGACGAGAGCTGGTTTGTTACCCCTCCCGCCTGTTTTACTGCAGAGGGGCCTGGCCTTGGGCCTGCCCGCCTCCAGAGCAGCCCCCTGGAGGACCTCCTCATCGAGCATCCCAGCATGTCTGTTTACGTCACTGGCAGCACCATAGTGCTGGAGTCTGGGCCCCCTTCCCCTCACCCAGAAGCTGCCTTGCCTGATCAGGACCTCAGCGATGGGTGAGCAGGCCCGGGGTGGACACTGGAGACTAGGGTCTAGAAGCCTGGCAGGGCTTTTCAGAGATGCGTCTTTGAGGCAAAGGGCAGCGCAGATGGGCTGTTGCCAAGCCTACAGATAGAGAGAGGCATGGTCTTGTGGCCTGCGGTGTGGCCAGGGACAGACTTGGCTTAGAGTGCTGGGAGCATCTTGAACAGTTAGTCCAGAGCACAGAGGGAGTGGGGTTTGTAAGACTGGGGGTTGGAGCCGTCTTCCTATTGTTCAGTTTGCTTGACCCAGGGTGGAGTGGAGGAAGCTTCTCCAACTGGGCTTGAGGAAGAGTTGGTGCGCATCAGTAGGGCATCAGGTATTCCATTCAGTAAAGACTGTGAGGTTGGGAGATGGCAGTGAGGTTGAGGATGTGTCCTCCCAACCTGACAGTCGCACTCTGTCCCTGCAGAGAGTTGGCGCCCGCCCGCCGGGAGCCCAGGGCCCTGCACCACGGGGCTGCCCCTATGCCTGTGAGGGCCGTGCTGCTGGAGAAGGCCGGCCAGGTGCGGAGGCTGCAGCGGGCCCGGCAGCGTGCTGAACGCCACACGTTGAGTGCTAAAGTTTTGCAACGGCAGAACCGCGCTCGGGAGAGCGGTGCACGCCGGCCCAAACACCAGGGCAGCTTCATCTACCAGCCGTGCCAGCGCCAGTTCAACTACTGAGTGCCCCGTCCTGCGCCACGGATCCCTCGCTGTCTCCTGATCCCCTTTGGTCCCCTCTGCAGCAGCCAGTGTGCTGCTCAAGGGGGCGTCCAAGGCCCGCTTCGATCTGAACACAACTTTCCTCCTTCCTAAGTGTGCGGGATGGGGTGAAGGCTTGTGACTCCCTGACTTCCGGGTCTCTGATCTTCTAATTCACCTTTGAACCTCTAGCTCTGTCACTCTCCCATCTCAGTATCTGATCCTCCCACCACCCCAATCCCCACTCCTAATCTTGTACTTTTCCTTCTCTGAGCCCTGTCCCCATCTCTCCCCTTCATCATTGCCCTCCTGGTCAATCCTATTTCTGAGAGCCTCTCCCACCTGGCTCACTCTCCACCCTCAGCTCCTACTTTACAGGACTTTCCCTTTCCTGTTTGGCTTTACACCCATTCCTGTTCCCTTCTTCATTCCTGGCAATTTCCTCCCAAATAAAGGGAGGGGACTCTGAACCCAACCCCGAACAGGTACAACAACCTGTCAGGCCTGGGCCACTGTCCTCACCCTACAGTCAGGGGTCAGGTTTGCTTTTAGTCTCCCCCTTTTCTCTGCCCCGGGGGCTGGGCTCCTTGGAGCTGCTTAGGCTTGCTTGGAAAGTTAAAGTATGTAGAGGAAAATGGTGAGATGTGAGTTAGAGAGAGAAGGTGGAGGGAATCAAGAGAAAGAGAGGGAGCCTACTGGGAGATGCAGACAGGGACAGACAGGTTGAGGAGCTGTAGGGAGCAGGGCGTCATGAGAGCTGGCATTGTGCTTGGTCAGAGAAGCTAAGCCCTGCTCTCAAGCTTGAGTCTGGAGTCTGCCCCCATTTTCTTTTCCTATAATCCTACCTCCCCAGTTTTTCCTGTAATCTGTCTTAAGGACCCCCCCACCCCAAATCTGGAGTCTGAAGGGCTTTTACCCTGCCACCTTACCTTGACATGCCACCCCAGGAGTAGAAGCTGGGCAAGGCCCCGCCATCCTGGCCATCTCTGTCCTCATGTCCAAGGTGCTAGAATTAGTTTAGGAGAGATGCAGGCCAGAGGGCTTCCAGGCAGGGAAAAGGGTTCATACCCCAGGCAAGAATGCAGAGGGATGATGGGCAAGAGGACAAGCTGTGGGGCAAAGCCATCTCCAGACTTGACAGCTTTGTCTCCATCTTGCCTCTGGCCTTATATTTCATATTTTGTTCAGTATAGCTGGCTAATAAACACTCCTGGGTAGGAGGCCAGGAGCTTCACTGTTCCAATTTCCAAATTTTTCATACTGAGAGTCAAGGCCTTCAAGGGGCTTCTTCATGTTCTCTCACAGGGCTCTTCCATTCTGGGTGCCCTATGGCCCCCTTTCCCTTTTTAGTGAAGTATCTGGAGGAAGGAACCTGAATCCTTGGGTAGACAGGGATAGGGGTGACCAGATTCCCGTTTTTTCTTGTGATGGGGCTCAGACACCAGCAACAGCCTCTTGGGATGCCCTGAGTTGCTTCTGATTCTTTTTAGCTGTCCTTTGTAAATGTGTGCTCTTCCTTCCTTAAAATTTTAAAGATTTCCTGTTACATACTAACATAGGTCTTCCCTTTTTCTTCATACCAATTCCAGGTTTCCAGGCCTCACAGCCAAGCTGGGTTGGAGAAAACTCTGCATTCCTATGGGTAAAACCAGCTGCCCTTTCTGATCCTCTCTTGCCAGGTCTCACGTGGCATGTGGGGAGAGGAGAGGGTATCCCCCAGGATGCTGGGATGGGTCTTCTCTCCCAAGGAATAAGCCAAACTGAACCTATAAGCAGACCGAAGACCCCACACCAACCCTCAAGGGCCCTCCCTCGTAGTTGATAGCCTTGTTTCTCTCCCAAGTTCTTCAGTTACAACCTAATACACTTTCTCTACTAGCTATCCCTAAGGCCACTTCCCAGCCAGCTTAGGATCTCCAGCACTTCCAAAAGCTGAAACTCCCTTTAGCCCTTCCGGTCTACTTCTCACTGCCAGATGGGGCCCAGGCTTAGTCCTGGGCAAGTGCCCATGATCCTGCTGGCAGGGGAAGTTTAATAGGGTATTTGCCTCAAACTTCAATAGGCCGCGCCCCTGATCTGTATTTCTAGAAGCTCCTGTAGTTCTAGAACTCTCCAATCTCTCACCTGACTGGTTGCAAGGCACTTTTTTTTTTTTTGTACTTTCCTATAGATTCTGTAGCATTTGAGTGTGGCAATATCTTAATTGTGTATAGATTTCTAAGACCCAACACTACTCAGTCTCCTGCTAGTCCGACTCCTGAAGCATCAGACCTTGTCATACTGTATTGACTGCGTATGTGCCTTTCACCTTGAGCATGCTTCAGGATTTTTTTTTTTTAAACCACAGAACTTGAATATACAAGGGAACCAGAATTCACAAAGTCCTATGCAACCCTAGACAGGAGGGGATTAGAGTCTGTCTTGACTGATGATTTCAGAGACCCTAGAGAAGTTTGTACCAATTTGTGAGTATTAATGTCAATACTACCAGCACTTTGCCAAAACTAAGGATGTCAGAGGGACCTGTTTCTAGAGAAGAGTCCCAATTCTATCAAAGGGCAACTTCCAGCTTTCTCCAATGTCTGAGTGGTTCTCTTGAGCTGGGTGTCACTTTCTAACCTTTGCCAGTCTAGCCCCAGCAGGGCACTGTGTGTGTGTGAGTATAGTTTGGTGCTGTTTTGGAGTATGCCTGCTCCCCAGTCTGGAACCCTCTGATCAACTTGCTGTGACCTATAATGTCTTAGGTGCAACAAGGACCCCACCAGAGCTCATGGATGGCTCCCTAGATCCATGAAGCTTTTGAGGGGACTGACTGCAGATGAACCACAGTCTGCTTCTAATACCTTGCTTCTTACCTTGCCACCTAGTTCCAAATGGAACCAACAAGTTGAGTGTATCCCTGTTGGGTGTTTTGTGTTGACTGGCTGAAATGAAAAAATTTGACTGACCATGTTGTGATGTGTCGACAGACTCAAGGACACAACCACCTCGACCTGGTCATGTGGCATGCCTGTGTATGTGTGTAACAGGATTCTGATTGTTAGATTGTAATGCTATTCCTGTATGGGAGAAAAAATAATATAAACAAATAAAAATCTATTTAAAGCACATTATGCTTTCTGCCTGAGTTGAGCTAATGTATGAGAAACACTATCTCAAGTAGAGTGAAGGCATAGGGTATTATTATGAGGCTGGCTTTGGTTCTGGTGTGTCATACAGGATAGGAAGAGGGTAAATAAGCTCACTGGGAAGGGAGACAATATAGGGCCTGACTCATAAAATATTTTTAGAAGATTCTTATAAGACATATAGAAAGACACCTGAAATGCAGGGATGAGAATGGGAGCACAGCAGAGGCACTGACCATTCTCTTAGTCTCAGACACTGGGTTATGGCAAGACAAGGAGTCACTGGAGGGGAGGGGATAAAATGCAAATCTAGTTCTAAGTGACACAGCAGAAGGTTGAGGCCCAGGCCAGACAAGACAAGTCCAATTAGTAGAGTTCTCAGGACTAGTAAGATGGGCTTTAAAGACTACAGATTTGGGGGGCTGGAGAGATGGCTCAGCAGTTAAGAGCACTGACTGCTCTTGCAGAGGACTGGGTTTGATTCCCAGCACCCACATGGTGGCTACAAACCGTCCTTAACTCGTTCCAGGGGAATCCAAAGCCCTCTTCTGACATCCGCAGCATTGCATGACACGGGTGCAGGCAATACACTCATACACATAAAATAACAATAAAATAGTTTTTTTTAAAAAAAGACTACAGATTTTGAAGAACTGATCTGTCAAAGGAAAAAGTAGGCCTGAAATATGAGAAATAAGCCAGAGAGAGAGAGAGATTGTGACTATCTCTGAAATATGACCCTTTTAACTTAGGAGCTACCCATTTAACTTCAAAACTGGACTATGGGTGGAATCCTGACCTAAACTGGGCTAACTTTAATTTTTTTTCATTTTTATCTTGTTTTTGAGACAGGGTCTCCCTGTAGCCCCAGCTGGCCTGGAACTCACTATGTAGACCAGACTGGCCTTGACCTCACAGAGATCCACAGGCCTCTGCCTCTCAAGTGCTGGGATTAAAGGTGCGTGCTACGATGCCCAGCTTTTATCTTCATTTTTTGAGACAGGGTCTCCCTGTAGCCCCAGCTGGCCTGGAACTCACTATGTAGACCAGACTGGCCTTGACCTCACAGAGATCCACAGGCCTCTGCCTCTCAAGTGCTGGGATTAAAGGTGTGTGCTACAATGCCCAGCTTTTATCTTCATTTTTTGAGACAGGGTCTTCCTGTAGCCCCAGCTGTGCCTGGCCTGGCACTTGCTATGTAGACCAGGCTGGCCTCAATCTCTCAGAGATCCACCTGCCTCTGTGTCTCTAGTGCTGAAAACTACATTTATTTATTTAGTATGGGGAGGGCATGCTGCAGAGCATGTGTGGAGGTCAGAGAACAACTTGTGGAAACTGGTTCTCTCTTTCCACCATGTAGGTTGAACTCAGGTCCCTGGGTTTGACAGTAAGTGCTTCTACCCACTGAGCCATATCTTTGGCCCTTTTTTTCAATATTTTATTATTTTTATTTTATGTGTGTGTATTGCCTGTAAGTGCACCCGTGTCGGGCAATGCCCACGGAGGACAGAAGAGGCTGTTGGATCCCCTGGAACTGGAGTTACGGGCAGTTGTTAGCTGCCATGTGGGTGCTGGGCTTTGAACCCGGGTCTTCTCCAAGAACAACCAGTGTTCTCAACCGCTGAGCCATCTCTCCAGCCCCCCTTTATTTTTAAAATTTATTTTTATGTGTTTTGCCTGCATGTATTTTACCTGCAATGCCTGTATACAGGCTAGAGAAGGGCATCAAAGCCCCTGCAACTGGAGTTAGGGACAGTTAGTCACATGTAGATGCTGGGAACTGAATCCAAGGTCCTCTGCAAGAGCAGGTGGTGCCCTGAACTGCTGAGCCAGTCCTTGGCCCTTTGTTGCCATTTTGTGTGTGAGTGTTCTGCCTGCAAGTATGGAAGTGCACCATGTGCACACAATGCCAGAGGCTAGAAGAGGTTGTCAGATCTCCTGGAACTAGAGATCTGGTTGTTAGCCATGATGTGGATGTTGGAAACTAAACCTGAGTCCTCTTCATACTCTTAACCACTGAGCCATTTCTCCAGCCCTGGACTAAATTCTTTTCCTAAAAAGTAAATTTTTATTTACTGTTATGAGTGCTTTGGCTACATGTACATTACATGTATACCATCTGTGTGCAGTGCCTGTGGAGGCCAGAAGAGAGTGTTGCGTTCCTGTGGAACTGGAGTTATGTGTGGTTATTAGCTGCAATGTGGGTGTTGGGAACTTGGGTCCTCTTTAAGAGCAGCCAGTGTTCTTAACCGATGAGCCATCTCTCTAGCCCTGTGGGCTAAATTCTTGATGCTGGTTCAAAAAATCCTGCTGAACCATCTAAGCTTATATTCTGAATTGAGATCTAAGCACAATTGTTTGGAGAAATTTGTCATGTGCATGGAACAGCAGATGTATTGGGTGAGAAAAAGTGCTATTTGTAGCGCTGGGTGTGGTGGTGCACGCCTTTAATCCCAGCACTTGGGAGGCAGAGGCAGGCAGATCTCTGTGAGTTCAAGGCCAGCCTGGTCTACATAGTTCTAGGACAGCTGGGGCTACAGGGAGACCCTGTCTCAAAAAGACAATAAATAAATTTATAAATAAATAAATAAATAAATAAATAAATAAATAAATAAATAAAAGTGCTATTTGTGTTGTTGAGAGCGTTCTGTAACTAGAAAATCCTGGGTGCCTTTGATCACAGGTTGGCTCTGTCTTTCAGAGACAAAGACTCATGTAGGGGCCTCATACTCTCTATGTAGTGGAGGATGATCTTGAACTCCCGACTCTTCTGCCTTTACTTTCCCAGTGCTATGATTGTAAGCATGGGCCACCATACCCAGTGGTTAATATATATCAAAATACCTGGTATGTTTCTAAATAGGGCTGGTCTGTACAATGACAAGAATGACTTGAGTGAGCAATCATATGCATTTTCCTCAGTTTGCTAGGTGGACATTTCAGGTGGAATGTGTGAGTTACAAAGAAGGCTATGTCTACTCATTTATGATCCAAAGAAAAAGCTTGCTCACCCTTTCCAATAATATACTTGTAAGTTTTATGACAATGACATTTATTTTAACACATTCAGTATTATTTCACATTGTACAAACCCTTAGATTCTCTTTATTCACTGGTCCATTTCTACAACAAATACATCCAAAACACTATATAATAAAATTATTTACAACATTTCCAAATAACAAGATTGCTTTTGCCCCACTACTGCTATTCACACACAGTACTTCCAACAGCACAATACATCATTAGAAGATCTAAAAATGCTCACCCTGTACTCTAGGCTGCTTAAGAAATGTGAAACATTTATAATGGCATTAGCTCCTTTCAATACATGGCAACATTTTAGAGGCCTTGAACTTCATTTTGCAACACCAAAAGGGCTGCTTTCCCCATTATACTTTATGAAAACAGGTTTCAGAGACTAGGAAAAGGGCCACATTATTAAAATGACTAACTGTACAGAAATAGATTTTAAAAAAAGTCACAGCTGAAAATTGTTCTTTGTAAAATTCACACACATTTACAAGTATCAAGTTGTCTTCCAGCTTGCTTACTTAGATTTTCTTCGCTTGGATTGCACCGCACCAGTTATATCTGTGGGGGAAAAGGATACATTCAACAAAGGTTATATTTTACCACAAAGCCCATTAGCAGTTCACAATGACTAGAACTGACATAAATGGAGCCCTACTAGATTCTGAACCAATTTTAAGTATTACATGCTATAGAGACAGTTATAGGCGTGCCTGCTGACTTCTGGGAAGAGAGTGACCCTGCAGGCTAGAGCCTGTTAACTGGGGGAAATGAGATAATGGCTGGTGAGATGGCATTTGCCATGAAGCCTGACAACCCTTTCCATCCCTGGGACCAACACAGGACTCTAACTCCTCCGCATCCCGCACCATAAATGTAATTTTAAAAAAATGTGGTAATAGAAGATGAAATGCTAGGAAAAGTGGCAGGGTTGGAAACAGCCATTTAATTAATTAATTTTATTAATTTATTTGTGTGTATGTATAAACATGTAGAAGTCAGAGGACAACATCTGGGAGTCTGTTCTCTCCTTCCACTGGTTTATGGAATCCAACTCAGGCTGTCAGGATTCTGTGGCAAGCCCTTTTACCTCCTCAGTCATTTTGCACCCCTTCCGCCTTTTAAAAGCTGGACAATTAACCCCACCATCTCCCTTACCAACTTCCACTCAATGAAGTGTGGATATACAGACTAACGGTGCTTTTGGTGAGAGAAACCACAGACACGTGAGTAAATTGTGTCAGGAAACCAGCCTTTGGATCTCTTGGAGCTACAACATTGTTTTGCATAAGGAACTCTTCTTGATTTATTACAGTTAAAGTTGTTCAACAACATGACAGACATGTATCTTGGTCACCAGGTATCTGTTGGGGCCCACATATATCAAGGCTTTGGAGGGCTGAGGACATAAAGCTCAGTAGTTGAGCACCTGCCTAACTTGCATGAGGTCCTGGGTTCAACCCCCAGTACTAAACAAACACAAAAACAAAACAAGCAAAAAAGCCTCCCTCAAAATCCTCCCCCCCAAAACCCCAACCTAAAACCATGTATACATATAAACATGGAAGCAATTTGAACATAACTCCTTGAACCTGAGAGCTACATGAAAGAGGTGGGAACAGTCTGGCTTATGTATAATAATTGTGACATAAAAGGTAAAGACTGTGGCTTTTTTGTTTTTTGGGGGTCCTTTTGAGACAGGGTTTTCCTGTAGCCCCAGCTGACCTGGAACTCACTATGTAGACCAGGCTGGCCTCAAACTCACAGAGATCCACCTGCCTCTGCTGTCCAAGTGCTGGCATTAAAGGCATTCGCCACCATACCTGGCCAAGACTGTTTTAATTCCTTCAATTTCTCTTGTACTTTCAATGTCTTAAAACAACTTACTCTTATCTCAGATTTAAATCATGTTTGCTCAAAACTTTTCCACAAAATTCTCTATGGCAAAG